ATCCACCCGCCTCGGCCTCCCAGAGTGCTAGGATTACAGGCGTGAGCCACCGCGCCCGGCCTGCATATGTCTTTTGCTTAATTTCTAATTGTATTGTTTAGGGTTTTTTGTTTTTGTTTTTTGGGTTTTTTAAGAGACAGGGTCTTGCTCTGTCATCCATGTTGTAGTACAGTGGCACAATCATAGCTCACTGTAACCTCAAACTCCTGGGCTCAAGTGATCCTCCTGTCTCAGCCTCCGAATAGCTGGGAAAATAGGTGCATGCCACCACACCTGGCTCATTTTTTTTTTTGTAGAGATGGGGTCTTGCTATGTTGCCCAGGATGGTCTCGAACTCCTGCCCTCAAGCAATCCTCCTGCCTCAGCCTTCCAAAGCATGGGGATTACAGGCATGAGTCACTGCATCCAGAATGGATTGTTTGATTTTTTAATGTTGAGTTTTGAGAGTTCTTTATATGTTCCAGATCCAATGAACATATAAATCACATTGTTGAATATGTGATTTGCAGACATTTTATTCCAGTTTATAATTTGTCTTTTCATATTTTTAACAGTGTCTTTCACAGAGCAAAAGTTTGTAATTTTATGAGGTCCAATTTATAAATTTTCCCACTTATGGATCATGCTTTTGTTTGTTTTGTTTGGAGGTTTTTTTGAGATACGGTCTTGCTCTGTCACCCAAGCTGGAGTACAGTGACATGATCATAGCTTACTATAACCTCCAACTTCTGAGCTCGAGTGATTCTCCTGCCTCAGCCTACTGAGTAGGTAGAACTACAGGCATGTGCCACCATGTCTGGCTGATTTTTTTTTTAAATTTTTTGTAGAGAATAGGGTTCTCGCTATGTTGCCCAGGCTGGTCTTGAACTCCTGGCCTCAAGCAATCCTCTAGCCATGGCCTCCTAAAGTACTGGGAATATAGACATGAGCCACCATGCCTGCCTGGGTCATGCTTTTGATGTCAAGTCTAAGAACTCTTTGCCTAGTCCTAGTTCCTCAAAATTGTCTCCTGTTCCTAGTTTTATAGTTCTATGCTTTACATTTTTCACATTCTATTTTTTAGTTAATTTTTGTATAAGGTGTGAAGTTTTGCATAAGGTATGCCAATGGATATCCAATTGCACCAGCGCCATTTATTGAAAAGTCTGCCCATTCAGTGATTTTATTTTGCTCCTTTGTCAAAAATTAATTGGGAATATTTGTATGGATCAGTTTCTCAGTTCTGTTCTTTTCCATTGGTCTGTTCGTCTATCCCTTTGCCAATACTACTCTGTCTGGATTACTACCACTATATAGTAAGTCTTGACATGGGAAAGAGTAATTTCTCCCATTTCATTTTTGTTTTTCAATATTGTTTTGACCTTTCCCTTTCCCCATAAATTTTAGAATAAGTTTGTCTATGTCTTCAAAGAAACTTGCTGAGATTTTGATAGGAATTGCATTAAAACTATAGATTAATTATTGACATCTTTACTTTGTTGAATCTTCCAATCCATGAACAAGATATGTCTCTCCAGTGCTCTCTCCATCAGCTTTTTATAATTTTCATCATACCAATTCTGTACATATTTTGTTCAATTCATTCTTAAGTATTTTTCTCTTGAGCAATTTGAAATCAAATGATATTACATTTTTTGTTTTGGGTTTTTGTTCATTGTCAGTATATATTAATAGAAATACAATTGATTTTTATGTATTGATCTTGTATTCTGTAACTTTATGGAACTGACTTATTAGTTCGAGGAGTTTTTTTGTGGACTCCATGAGATTTTCTAAGTAGACAGTTATGTTATCTGCAAATAGAGTTTTCTTTCTTTCTTCACCATCTGTATGCCTTCAATTTCTTTCTCTTGCCCTATTGTAGTGACTAGGACTTCTAGTACAATGTTAAATAAGAATGGTGGGTATAAATGTCATTGCCTTATTTCCAGTCTTAGAGGGAAAACATTCAATCTTTCACCATTAAGTATGATGTTAACTATAGGTTTTTTGTAGATGCTGTGTATGAGGCTGAGGAGTTTCCCTCTATTCATGTGTCTTAGTCTATTTTGTGCTGCTATGACAGAATACCACAGACTGAGTAATTTGTAAAGAACAGAAATTTTATTTCTCACAGTTCTGGTGTCTGGAAATCCAACATCAAGGCACCAGCAGGTTTGGTCTCTGGTTACAAGATGGCGCCTTGTTGCTGCATCCTCTGGAGAGGAGGAATGCTGTGTCTTCACAGGCAGAAGGCGGAAGGAAGGAGAAAGCAAACCCACTCCCATAAGCCCTTTTTATTGTGACATTAATCCATTCATGGGCACAGCCCTCATGGCCTCAACACTTGCAAAAGGCCCCACCTCCCAACACTGTTACATTGGGGATTGAGTTTCCAACACATGAATTTTGGGGGACACATTCAGACCATAGCACCTTGTGTACTAGATCATAAATGAGTGTTGAATTTTGTCAATTTTTTTCTGCATCATATTCTATGATCATATGATTTTCCTTCTTTAGCTTGTTGATATGGTGTATTATACTGATTTATTTCTAAATATATTGGACCAGCCTTATATGACCTGGAATAAATTCCACTTGGTTGTAGAATATTATTTTTATATACATTGTTAGATTTGATTTGCTAAAATTTCATTGAAGATTTTTGTGTCTAAGTTCATGAGAAATATTGAGCCGTAGTTGTATTTTATGCTGTCTTTGTCTGGTATTGGTATTGGGGTAATACTGGCCACATAAAATGAGTTAGAGGGTGTTCCTTCTACTTTCTGGAAGAGATTGTATGCACTTTAGTGTTAATTCTTTGAATGTTTGGTAAAATTCTCCAGTGAAACCATCTAGTCCTGGAGATTTCTTTTTTGGGAGCTTTTTAATTACAAATTCAATTTCTTTATTTTTATTATTTTTTTTTTTTTAAAAAAAATTTTTTTTTTTAGACTAGTCAAGTGCAGTAGTGAGGAGGGAGGAAAGTAGTAGAACAAAGAATTCATAATTTCTTTAATAGTTATAGGACTACCCAGTTTTCTTTCATTTTGGCTGAGTTTTGGTAGCTTGTGATTCTTGAGGAATTGGTCCAATTTCTGTTAAGTTGTCAAATTTATGAATGTAAAATTATTCATAGTATTTTTTTATTGTCCTTTAAATGGCTTCAGCGTCTGTTGTAATATTCCCTATTTCATCTCTGATATTGATGATTTATGTCTTCTCTCATTTTATCTTTATCAATATTTATAGAGGTTTATCAATTTTATTGATTTTTTTCAAAAAAAATAGTTTTTCATTAATTTTCCCTATTGTTTTTCTGTTTTCAATTACTTACTTTTCCAAGAGCTGACCCTTTTTTTCTCTTCACAGGTTCCAACTCCAAGGCCAAGGGTTTTCACACCTCAGTCATCCCTAGTGATGCCCTTGAAACCTTCCCATCCTAACCCTTATCAGGGCTCCAGAATGCAGAATATAAGTGACTACAGGGTACCTGGGCCCCAGGCAGCCCAGCCTTTGCCTTTGGGCCCTGGGGTGAGGCCTGGTGAGTGAATGAGTGAATATTTGCCTGAGCAGAGCACAGATGTCTCAGGAAAGCAATTGGCATGACCACCGTGGATTTGGGAGGCACTATGTCTTTCTAGTGAGAGGAACTTGGAAGTTGAAGTCTGAATTCCTAATTCTATCACTTACTGGCTTTGTTCCTTTTGTCAATATATTAAAGTAGTTATGTTGGTTATTTTGATGCTACAGGATTGTTTTACAGGTTAAGTAAGGAATATAGTTAAAGGTTCTTCGTAAATTATAGATCTCCATAAACATGTATTAATCATTTATTATTATTAGATTTTTTAAATTGCTATTCTATTCCTCCCTAATGCACCCTGTGACTCTCCTGAATTGAAGTTTGGTGGCAAATACTCTATTTCTGTTCTACTTCAGCTTTATCTCAGCCACAACTGTTAGGAGGGCAAAGAGCTCAAGCTCCTAACCCTGTGGGATTCCTTGGAACATGGCCTCTTCCTGGCCCCTCTCCACCCATGGCATCCCTAGACATCGTGCAGCCTGGCTCTACCTCCCTGCCTGAAACTTCTAGACTGCTCCCTCTGCTTCCTGTGAGACTACTAGATCCCAGTCCCATGAGCTCCCAGCCCCCAGTCCCTCCTGCCAGCTTCCCTGCTGCATACACTCCCGGAGGTGCTCCGTGCTCTAGCACCATCCCAGCCACTGGCATCTTGACTTCCCATCCAGGTCAGTCTTCCTTCCATGGCTTTCCTCTTCTGGGTTATTGCCTGCTTTTCCTCCCCTCCCTGCTACTACCTTGGGAGCCTTTTTCTTCAGTGAACTGTGACCCCTTGGGGTGGAGAGTGGCTGGGAGTGTGGCTGGTCTTCAGAGGGAGGTATGGTGGACTCCAACTAAAATAATTTTTCTAGCCTTCAGACCAAAAATTTCCAAAGTTCCTGACCATGCCCCTAAAAACCTATTTTTACTCTGTAGCACCTGAAGATTCCTGGAAAGATGCCCCAGCCCCCAGGAGAAACCTCCAGAGGAAAAAGGTCAATGCATCTTTCCCCACCCACTCCCTCATACATTCACCTGTGACCCACGTTCTAGTTCCTTACAGAATTCAGTCAGTCCTTCCCATTCTCAGGCTGTCCTCACTCTTCTCTCCTCAGCACCCTCCTCTTTCCTTCTTACATACTCACACCAGTCTTCCCATTTCCCTGTTCCTCACTCGCATTTCTGTCTCCTTGTTCACTATAATTCCGACCACTCCCCAAAATCAGGGCCTATGGAGTCTCTTAGCTTAGACTCGTGTGCCTTTCTTTCTCTCTCTTTAGCTGCCAGAGACATTTATGCCCCCAGCACCAATTACTGCTCCAGTTATGAGCCTCAGCCCTGAACCACGAAGAATCCTTCCCTCACAGCCCCCTGTGTCCAGTATGAGTCATGCTCCCCCAGGAGCCCCAGGAGAACTCAGCCTGCAGGTGATGGGGACAATGTGTTACCTTCCCCTGGGAAACCTTCCAGCCCTCCCTGGGTGTAGAAAAGTGGGGAGCATGGTAGATGGGCCTCATTCCTCAAGGCAGAGGCAGTCTCTGAGCTGAGGGAAATTGGATTGGGTACCAGGTGTCCTTACTGCAGAGAAAAGGGGAGGGTGCTCCTCTCCCCAACTCTGCTGTGCCCTAATGGGAACAGTGTGATTCTGAATCACTGAGGAATAGTCCTTAGAGAAGCCATGAGAAGGAGAGCTTGCCTGTCTGTCTTTCTCCTGCCTCTTTATCAGCAACTTCAGCAATTGCCACCTCAGAAGATGGAAAGGAAAGAGCTGCCCCCAGAGCATCAGTCCTTGAAGACCAGCTTTGAGGCACTTCTCCAGCGCTGTTGTTTGTCTGCAACTGACTTAGTGAGTCTGAACCTTCCCCACAATGCCCTCCTCACACCCCTCACTGGTTCCAGGACTCCTTAGCTGTAGACCAGTTCCTTGTGTGATTCCTTTCTCACTGTCCCTTAACATGCTGTCTGTATCTTATATTTATGTCCATGAGGAATAGGGGAGGGACTTGGATTCTGGTCTGAAGTCTGGCTCCTCAGTAGCAGGACCCAACAGCATCAAAACCTAAAGGAAGCAGGAAGTCCTAGAAGGACGGTGAAGCCAGGAGTAAGGAAACCTGCCATTCATTTGCTGGCTGTGTCATCTTGAACAAGTCACTTACCCTCTTTGGGCCTCCATTTCCTCCTCTGTGAAATGGAGCAAGTAGCATTAAGCCATATCTAGTTATGATATATTGTGATTCTTTATAACCTTATGTAGTGTTAGACTTAGGGGCTGGGGTCAGAATCTATTTCTTGAGGCTGGGCATCGTAGCGCATGCCTGTAATCCTAGTACTTTGGGAGGCTGAGGCAGGAGGATTCATTGAGGCCAGGAGTTCAAGACCAGCCTAGGCATCTCTACAAAAAATAAAAACTTAGCCAGGCATAATGGTGTATGCCTGTAGTCCTAGCTACTCAGGAGGCTGAGGCAGGAGGATCACTTGAGCCCAGGAGTTTAAGGTTGCAGTGAGCTATGATGATGCCACTGCACTCTACCATGGGCAACAGAGTGAGATCCTGTTTCAAAAAAAATCCATTTCTCTCCCTGCAGAAGACAAAAAGGAAGCTGGATGAGGCAGCCCAGCGTCTAGAATATCTGTATGAGAAGATCTGCGAGGGGACAGTAAGTACAGCTAGCTGTGTTCCCTCTGCCTCTTGCCCTTCTGCCATCACCCATGGCCAAAGGAAGCCCAGTGTCTTTTCTTCCCAAAAGTCTCGTCAACCTGGGTCCCCACAAAATGCATACATCTTTTCTGGACTAGGCTCCAGAACTTGAATCCTCTCTTATCCCTTCTATATTGCCAGGGTAGAGAGGCTGATTTGGGCTTACGAACCCAAGGGCCAATCTCTCCACAGCTCTCGCCTCATGTCCTGGCTGGGCTCCACGAGGTTGCCCGATGTGTGGACACAGGAAGCTTTGAGCAAGGCCTCGCAGTGCATGCGCAGGTGGCAAGCTGCAGCAGCTTCAGCGAAGTGTCCAGCTTCATGCCCATCCTGAAGGCTGTCCTCACCATCGCACACAAGCTGCAGATCTAAACCAGCCAGCCTCTCTTGCCAGGAGGCCACTTCTGCTGTTACTTAACTCCTCCCTGCAGAAAAGGGGAATTTTGGAACAGATTCTATTGTTTTTCCCAATCCTCTTCCTTTGCTGGCAGGTATGTGATGCTGTAGGCTTAGTTCCAAACCAGTTAAGTGCCTGCTTTTTCCCCTTTATGCCTGGCCTTCTAGGATCTACCCAAGACTCTCTCAGCCCCAGAGGCAGAGCACAGTTCTTCACTTTCCCTAACACTGTACTCTGACAGGACCTGGGGCAGAATATCTTCTCCCCCTGAGATGTCCTGTTTAAGTGGCCTGTGACAGAGTGAACGGGATCATTATTTCCAAGTCTACCTCTGCTGTCACCCACCTTGTGGGTCTTTTGCTTTTCCCTTCTGTGATTTATGAGCCTGACCTTACCTTCTCCCTGCCTCTGATTTCATATTTTCAGGTCCATATTTCTCGGTGGCCCAGGGGCCCAGGGTAGAGTTGACTGCTGTTCACTCTTTGAACAAGTCATAGACATGAGGTGCCGAGCAGAACCAAGAGGGGAAACTTTGGCCCTTTTTAAACAAAACTTCTCATGTGCCAGCATTATTAAGGGTGGACTAGGTTAGGTGGAAGGTGAAAGGGGTGAACTGCCTTGCTGGAAGCTGTCTTAGGCTATTAGAGAGGAGCAGAGGGACCAGAGGCTATGGGGAATGGCCCTCGATTCCACTTACGTTTGAGCCCTGGCCCAAGGCCCTATACTATTCATTCTGTGCTTATAAACCCAGTTCTGGAATAGGAACCATATTAACGAAGGCTTCTTTTCCAGCACTGCTCCTCAAGGGCTGGGGCACTTCTACCCCTCAGCCACCATGTCTCAGGGCTACCTTCTCTGGTTGTATTTTCATTTGATGCATGGCGTTTGATTCACAGATACACTTAATGGTGCAATAAAGCCACTTTGATTTGGTTTCCTTAGTCATCTCCCAATCATTGTCTCCTCTGGGTCCTATTTTGCCATTACCTATCTTTCTAATCCTCTTTGTTCTTGCTTCCTGCACCCTAGTAAGGCAGGGGAGAAGCTTGGGGAGAGATAAGAAGTCAAGAGAGTGAAAGAAAGGTAGGTGTCCAGTTCCATTGAATTAGGCTGCAAGGCTCTCCTTGCAGCATTTGTGGCCACTCTGCTGAGTGTGTGTGTGTGTGTGTGTGTATCTTCATCTGTGCCTGACGTTCAGCTCCAGGGTTTTCCCCACACCACTTCAGGGCTGAGCTCAGCTGCACAAAGGGACTGGGTGTGAAGCCAGAGGGTACTAGCCCTAATCCTGTTGTAGATGCCATCATGTCTGCAGGCTAGATGTGTGTGTTTGGGAGGGAGGGATTGTTAGGCAGTATTTGTTTGTAAAGCCACTTGCTCTTCAGATAATACTTGCACTAACTTCTATTGATGAAGCAGTGTGAGCCCCAGCAAAGTCCTTTCCCAAAGTGTCTTTGAAGCCAAGAGCCCATTGAGGGGAAGAAAGGCTGGGAGAGGGGATTAGTTTGTTCAGCAGCTGTGAATTTCAGTGGGAGGTTGATGAACTCCGAAGTCTTTGTTTAAATTAAAGGGGGGGAGAAAAAAGCCGCTGCTGGAGCGAGAGCCCCACTTGGGGCCCTGAACTAACACAAGGAGAAGTCTGAGCTGCAGGGAGCTGTGTACTGACTGCGAAGACTTTTCCCAAACACTTTCGGAAGAGGTGTTGTGAGAAGAGAAGGGGGCGGAGTGGCGGATTAGCATGTGAAATGAAGTTTTCATTGACTCCAGTGGGGGTAGAAGGCTATTTTAATGGCATTTTGTTCCCCTATTTTCTCTTCTTGAGCTCTTTAGAGATATTGTTTTGCTAAGACAGGCTTTCTTCCCCCTTCTTTCCAGTCTGAGGATTGCCTCTATGGGAGCCAACATAAATATTTCTCCTCCAGGAATGCGGGTTAATTAAAAGGAAATGAATGAGTGGAAGCATCCAATCCAGACCCACAATAGGCAAGTGCCCTGGCCTGCCCTCCCCTCCCACCACCACCAGCACCACCAGCGCCGAGGATGACCCTGTCTCTGTCTTTGCCTTAACCTGCTGCTAAGGCCAGTTGAGGCTGGGATTCTTTTCAAGAAAAGAAAGCCCTGCCTGTGTGTATGCTCACAGGCCAGGGACAGGAAGGAATCAGTGTTTTGCCCACCCCAACCAGTGTCCTTGTCACTTCTCAGGACCTCCCTCCGCTTCTGTCCTCTGGCTGAGACAGATGGGATCCTGAAGAGCACACAAGAGGAGGGAGGGGACCTGTGCTCCAGTACTCAACCCACAGTAACTCACTAGTTGGTGGAATAAGCCAGTCGTCTTTCTCAGCATCTGATTAAATCTGTAAAACAAAAGATTTGACTAGCTGACCTCAAAGATGTCTTCCCAAGCAGCGGTTCTGGAGTTGTCCACTTTGTGAAGGGGAACACAGCCCTGGCAATTGAGTATAAGATGAAACCCTAAACTCCATGAATGCGGGGATGTTGATGTGTTGTTCACCACTTTCTCACTCTGGTGTTAGCTGAGTGAACAAATATATGAATGAATAATGCAAGAGGCTGAAAACAATATAGATCTAAGGTAGCTCAGTAATATTTTCTTTATAGAACTGAAATGAATCTAGTATCAACCATATCCATTTGGGGATATAAAACAATAACCTATGAAAGAACTTTCTGGCAACATGACATGTTTGGAATATTGACCTGGAGTTTATCAAATATGAAGCACAATGGTTCTTCTACATTTATGCTGAGAGACCTCCTGGAGAATGTAGCTTTACAGCATTGTACTTTTATATTTTCTAGCTGCCTTGCCAGACTTTCTTCCTGTGCACTATCAAGTAATTCTGCCAAGTGGGACAGCTAGGTTAGTATATGCTGCTGCTTGATTAAGGAAGAAGGTGAGTTGGGAGATTCAGGAGGCCCAGGTAAAAGCTGAAGGAAGGAGCAAAGGGCCTTTTGCTAGTAGAGATGGAAATGAAGCACTCAGAGACCCTGAAGGAAAGTGTATCCCCTGGTCAGGAAGGAGAACTTCTCTCCTCAGTTAGTGTTAGTAGGACCAGAAGATAGATAGGGGTGAGGCCAGGGGCTTGGGGTCTGACCTGGCCACTGCCTCAGTTTGGAATATGGACCTTCCAGTCTTATAGGTCAGCCCCTAGAGTCTTGGCTTTTGTTACCTACTTGGAGCCACCCTTCTGGTACTTTCTCCTACTCTGGCAAAGGAAGGTTGAGGTTGTCTAGCATCTGACCAGTTCTGCTTCAGAAGAGCTGCCCGGTGCCCAGACCTGGGACTGGCCTACAGCAAGGGATCTGGCTGGGAAGTTCCTTGGGCTACAAAGAGTTGTTAGGGAACGACTATTCCCTCCCCAAGGGCTTGCCCTGTTTTATAAACAAGTCTGTGCTATACTGCTTCTCTCTGAGAATAAAACCAGAAGATTCAAGCACCACAAGCAGCAAGCTCTTGGCTACTAAGCAAATGTATTAGTGGAAGATTTATGTAGATGATTTACTAATGCTTGGCAGATTAGCCTCAGTCAATCTTAGGCCATCAAAGAAGCAAAGATCTAGGAAGGATGACATCCTGCCAAGGTGGGAGGGAGGAGAGAGCATAGAGGTTATATCCTCTATCCTGCTCCACTCCCAGTATCCTCAAGAATAAGTTCAGTACCTGGAAAAAAGGGAACATATCACAATAACTGCAATAAATTAAAGTTCAAGGTGCTGAACTTCCTATTAGCAACAGTTTCATTGCAGCAAGTTTATTCATTGAAGGAAGATATCCAGTGCCCTGAATCCTACCTGTTTGAGAACCAAGTTAGTGAAAAGGAAGGGTCCCAGTTTCTCCTCTGAATGACCTGCCTCTAGACCAGGATCTGAATGGGAAATTGGCTTTATTTACCTCAGTCTAGGCTCAGAGGAACAAAGAGCCTTTGGGGAAGGAGAAGAGGTAAAGTTGGTTGCTAGGAGGAAATAGGTTAGGAGCCAGGGAGCAGGTAAAACTTTAAAGGGTAGGAAATGACAATCTGCCTTTACATAGTTCCTAGGCCTTCAGGATTGTGTCTGGAGTGCCTTGGGTGATTGTCTGTGAAGGTCATTGCCCCACTGGTAAAACCCATTAGTAATGTGGTATCACAAGGATGAGTAGCACCCTTGGTATTCAGCAAGTCAGCACTCCAGGGGTCCCTCTTTCCATCTTCAACCTCTGCCTCTAGGAATAAACCCCTAAAACATGCTTTTTCCCAGGCCAGTTTTCTTAGTTTCTCTTCAGGGAAAGAAGGGAGAGGGAGAAGAAAGAGAAAGCATTAGAGATTCCTGGAGAGTCTATGTCAACAGTTAGCAGGGAATCAGAAACACAAGAGGAGCTCTGCAAAAGAGAGAGGCAGCTATGGCGAGACCTGGTAGCAGACAATAGGCAAAGGAGAAAAGTATGGCTTTATCTGGGCCCTCCTGTCTGAGAAGTGTTCTTCCAGTTCCTAAGGCTTGATAGGCTAAGGTCAGGCTTTAGGACACCTAGGAGGGGGAAGGAGGAACACCTATTTTCATTCTAGTCCAAGGAAGGCCAATAGCACAGAATCTTAGAACAGAGTTCTCAGACCTAAGTGTGGCTGTGAGGAAGATTCAGACAGAGCGCAGAGGAATTGGGGAAAACAGGTTGGAAGTGGCAAGCTCTGGAGAGATTGCAGAGACTCTCATTGTCAGGATCCCTGGGCTTGGGAATGCGGGGTCCCCATTCCCTAGGTTCCTCTATTACTGGGGTCTGTAAAAGAAGCCAAGAACAAATGGGGAAAGGAGGGAGGAGAGGAGACCCTTAGGGTTTTTTCCCGGGTTTGTGCGCAGCGCCTCCCCGCGGCCGCTCCGCGCGGCTACAGAAGTACTTGGTGACCCGCCGGCGGCACTGCTCGCAGCGAACAGCGCAGCACCAGTGGAACTTGCAGTTGCAGCTGGACACTGTCTCGGCACGGCGTTCCTCCACCGCCAGCCCGCAGTCCCCGCAGAGCCGGCGGCAGCTGCGGCGCTCCCAGCGGCCGAGGGCCCGTCCGCGCCGCAGGCACTCTCGGCCCTCGGTGCCCAGCAGCCCCAGCGTTTTGTTCTCCAGGCAGTAGTCTGGGGAGTCCTCCAGGTGCACGAGCTCTCGGGTGGAGATGGAGCGGAAGGTGTCGGCGATGGCGCCGCGGCCCGCCGCGCTGTTGCCCACACCCTGCAGCAGGTCCACCTTGAGTGCTGCGTGGTATTTTTCCTTCAGGTGCGCGCCCACCTCGCGGAACTCGGGCAGCTGCAGCCAGCAGGTCTGCGTGGTGCAGCTGCCAGACACGCCGTGGCACTTGCACGTGCGTTTCATGGTGCCCTTCACCGCCTGGGGAAAGAGCTAGAAGTGAGGCCCGGGATTAAGCGTGTGCTGAGCCTCTGCCCCTGAGGGCTTGTGAGGCATCTAGCTAGTCTACTTGGCCAGCCCGCTTGGTTACCTCATTTTCCGCATCTGTGAAATGAACTTAGGAGTTGTCCGCACCTGGGGCTGGTACTAGATGGAGCCGGCTGCCTAATCCCAGGGGCTGCAGGACTCACCTTGCGGCCAGCCTCGTTATTGTGCAGGTTCATGGCTGCCCGTGCATCCTGTCCTGTTTCCAGAGCATCGACGAACTGCTTGGAAATTGCCTCTCCGAAGCCCACGTTGTCACTGCAGCCTCCCCATAGCCAGCCTTGGCCCCCTGGAAAAGGGCAGGGGGAGGAAAGGTCATCGAGTAGGCGGGTGCGGAGCCTTTTGGCCTGCTGTTCCTAATTGGGTTGGGGGTTCCGGTACAGGAGAGGATTAAAGTTGGGCGAGTGCCCGGTGTATCCAGATTAGTTTCGATCTAGATTTGTTTTTGCCACTTTTGCGCTCCACTTCCAGCCTCAGCCAATCCCCTGTTCAAGACTCCATGACGTAAGCAGTAGCCGAATGGATTCTCTGCAAGGTGCGAGTGCGCTTTTCCGCATACAGTGCTCTACCCACCAGGCAGAGGTGCATGTGCCCTGCCGGTGACTGAGGTCCGGACGGGACAAAATGGCACAGAGCATTGTGAGGGAGACACTGGCGCAATTGAAATAAGATGGAACAACCAAGGTGGAAATTGATCGGAAGGGCACAGAGGATTGGAAACGGCAGTGGAGGTAGAGTGGAAAGTAGACGGGCCTGGGCAACATGAAAGGAAGTTCCCCCTGTATTTGAGAGAAGGAACAGAGGATTAAGTCCGAAGAGTGTTGTTCCTTTATTATTATTATTATTATCATCATTATTATTATTATGTTTAAATTAAGGAAACCACTCAATGGGAGAAGAGGTTCCAAAGCTACATTTAGTCTGGTTTGTCACTGTAGGGTTTGGGCTCAAACTGGTTCACTCATCTTCAGCATGATTTTACTCATATTTAGAAGAATACAACTTTTCTTCACCCCACCAAGCTGCCCACCAACCTTTTCATTCTTTAAGTGAACTTAACTGGCTTGTGCTACCTGTCCCCACATTGCTACTCACCCAGCTGCCCATTGCGGGAGTCATCACAGCCACAGTTATCAAAATCCCCAAGGCTGCAGTTTCTAGTCAGGGTGTACATGACTCCAGCAGAACTGATGGCATGTACAAATGCTGTCTCCCGATTCGCTGTCAGGAACCCAAAATCCAGAAGTTAGAGGGAGGGGTTGCAGCCCGAAGAAATGCCTGTCATGCTACTTTCCTTTAATACCACGATTATACCTTCCTTTCCCAGCTCCATCCTATTCTCCCATCTTTAAAATGTGTCTTACACTTTTCCAGGGTCTGCTCCATCCCTGGCCTTAGCCTTACTCCTCTCCCTTCCTGTCTTTTCAGGCCACACATTTTATGGCTAGGTGGCGAGGTTATTGTTGACACACATGATTGTAAAGGATTTAGATGGAAAAGAGCCTGAGGAAGAAATGGGAAAGAAGATGAATCTGAAGACTAGGTTATAAAGAACCCATCCCCACTTCCTCCTGGAACATTGGAGTCTGAGAGGCATGTGTCGTTAGTCTTGAAAAGAACCTCTGACTGGCAGTTCTTTCATTTTTTGGCATGCCACTCTGTCTTCTCCATGGGAATCTGGTCTCCAGACCAGTTTCCACTTGCCCAGTACTTCTGCTGAGCCTGCTGAAGGAAGGGGCTAAGAGGTGTAGTAATTATGACCTGCTACCTACCTCCTGATGTTATTTATATTGTGAAGGAACCTTTAGCCAAATGGAAAGCCAAGGATGACATGGGATTGAGGGTGAGGCAAGGCCCATTTGTTGAGCAGTGACAGTGTTGGGGAAGAAAGAAAAATGCCTCTGTAGGTACAGAAGAGGAGGTGGGAAAGAAAAGGAGAAGATCTTCCAGGGAGGGAGATGACCTGAGAGAAGAGAGCAGGTGAAGAATAAGGGTGTAGAGGAGTCAGAGAGCCATCACTGGGGCTCTAATCAGTGACCAGGGGGTCCAGGGAACTGTGGCCAAGGCTTTCCTTACCACTGCGAAGCCCGCCATGGCTGGACAGCTGCAGGGCTCTCTCAGGGCAGTTCCAGCGGTCCCAGGCAAACTGATATTTGCATTCTTCAATACCACTCTGAGCGCCAGCTGCCACACTGCTGGAGTAGATCAGGTAAGCCTGCAGGGACACAGGGGTCAAAATTCAGACTGAACTTAGGAGGCATTTGCCTAACCTGATCAAGCACCTCTCTTCCTGCCCACTCTCCCATCCCTCTAAAATAATGGTGGAGTGAGCACTTTAAATATGCTGTCTCATTTAACATAACAAATAACCTTGTGAAACAGGTACCATTTTATAGACTAGGAAACTGAGGCTCAGAGAGGTCATTTGTCCAAGGTCCCACAGTTGGCAAATGAACTAGGAATGAAATATAGTTTTATCAGACTGTAGTCCCCACTGTCCTTTATTCATTCTACTGCCTCTACAAAATGAGCCCAAATCACATAATTCATGAAATTTCATCTATTTTCATTCCATTACTATCTTAGAAAATAATATTTTGGAGCTGGAAATGCCCTTCTGTGTGCAGATCATGTAATACAATTCCAACAGTTTAAAGATGAGACGTTGCATCCCACTATGGCACTGAGAAGGATGTGTGACTTTACAGCCTAACACCATGAAAGGCTGCTGACTTCCCTCCCTGCCCCCCAAGACATAGTCTTGCTCTGTTGCCCTGGGTAGAGTGCAGTAGCATATCATAGCTCACTGTAACCTCAAACTCCTGGGCTCAGGGGATCCTCCTGCCTTAGCCTCCTGAGTAGCTGGGACTACAGGTGCACACCACCATGCCTGGCTAATTTTTTTCTATTTTTAGTAGAGACGGGGGTCTCATTCTTGCTCAGGCTGGTCTTGAACTCTTGAGCTCAAGCAATCCTCCCACGTTGGCCTCCCAGAGTGCTAGGATTACAGGTGTGAGGAACTGTACCTGGCCCAAAGTCTATTGACTTTTATGGTTCTGGAAATTCTGGCCATAAATTTAGAATCAGTGCTCCTGAGTTCTTGTCACTGACATTAGTTTGCTTTGTGGTTTTGGGTGTGTCCCTAACCCTCTCTGGGCCTCAGTTTTCCTATCTATAATGTATATAGCATAATAAAAGATATGTATATGATGAAAAGAAATAGACATGTATAGTCTTTGGTCAACAAGCTAAGATTAGTGAAATCCATATTAATCAAAGGAATTTTTCTTACCTTTGGACCAGTCATCAGGAAATTGTTCACTGACCTAGAAGGGGAAAAAAACACAAACCACAGAGTATAATGGAGAGATACTAACTTGTTTTTGCTTCCAAGAGTTGTAAGAGTTATTTCAGCAAATATAATTGATAGGAAGAAAGGGAAACTAATTTCACCGAGGAAACATTGTGCATAAAAACCTACTAAAATAACTTATTTAGTAAAAAATAATATGAATAAAAGTAGTATGATTTCCTTGAATTTTTAAAGTTAGTTAAAATTCCCCATACCATAAAAATTGAGAGTAATGTTTGATTATTATTTTGCCATGGGGTGGGAAGAGAGCTAGCATTAACTCCTGATTGTGTACCAGATGCTCTTCTCTCAGTATTTTACATATTGATCTTGTTAAATCCTTACTGTCTCAGGCATTATTATCTCTTCCACAAATAGGGAATCTAAGACTCAAGAAAAGTTAAATATATGTTCAATCTCATCCAGCTAATAAATGAAGGAAGCAGGTTTGAATCCATCTTACTCCATGGGATATTAGAAGCATAGCTCTCTAATGAGGAAGAGGCAAACAGTGGAATATCTTTCTAGGGATTGAGTCACCGTTAAATTCCAAAAATATATAATCTGATTCTGGAAAATGGTTTGGCTGTTTCTTTTAAAACTAAAAATAGATTTGCCACATGGCTTAGCAGTTGCACTGTTGGGCATTTATCCCAGGGAATTTTGTGCTTGGTTCCAAGTCACTGCAAAGATCTAAAAATAAATTTTTTTTTATAAATAAAATTTTTTTAATTAAAAAAAAATTTGTACTCAGATGCTCATACTTGGATGCTTTATTCATAATAGCCCCAAACTGGAAACTACCCTAAATGTTCTTCAGTGGGTGAAGGTTTAAAAAAACTGTGGTACATCCACACCATAGAATATTACACAGCAATAGAAAGAAAAGAACTTCATGAAATTATGGAGGCTGAAAAAAAAAGGAAGGAATGATTGATAAATGCAACAACTTTAATGAACCTCAAGGAAATTATACTGAGTGATTAAAGTCAATCTCCAAAGGATACATGCTGTATGATTCTATTTGTATAACAGTAGTGAAATAATGTAGAGCTGGAGAACAGATTAGTGGTCGCCAGGGATTTGGGATAGGGGGTGGGTGGGCTATAAAGAGTAACATGAGAGAGTCGTGGGGAGATGGTAGAGTTAAGTGTCTTTGTGATTGTGGTCATGGTTACACAAGTGGCAAAGTTGCATCAGGCTACACACACACACACACACACACGCACACTCAAGTACCAACAAGTGTATGCAAAAATGGTGAAGTCTGAATAAGATTTATGATAATGTACTATGGTTGTAAGATGTTAACACTGAGGGAGGTTGGGGCCAGGGTACGTGGGACTTCCTTGTACAAATGTACATTTCTTTGCATCTTTTTCAAATCTGTAATTACATAAAAATGAAAAGTGAAGTACATATGTACATACATGATCCACAGTGTTAGAGATTTGGAGAATGACTTCAGAATAGGCATTTGAAAGTTAATCAAAATGTTTTATCTGTTATCATTCTTTATCAATTATAATTTAAGAAAGTAACATGGGAATCATTATGTATCATTCCACAAAAGTTGGTGTGCCCCTGCAATTCTGAAGGCTGATAAGATGCTATACGTCACCAGAAAGGAGACTAGAAATGAAACAGACCAAGAAAGTTTAGTCTCAAAAAGCCTTGGCTGACTCTTTTGATACAAAATACACACAACACCTAAAATGTGAGTAGTTTTTGAAAAACAGTATTAGCAAACTGGGAGGCTGCCATATGAGAAGATAAAAAGGATTCTGAAAGAGATGTAATAGAATTTTAGCAAATCATGACAGACTACAAAAACTAAAGCCTACTTTTTAAAGCTTGGCAGGCAAACTTAAGTCAACTGAAAAGAAGCACTATTCTATTGGGGGTGGTAGTACAAGCAAAGCACAAAAATAAATTCAAAATTATTTAAATGAATTCACAGTTGCCAAAGCCATTATGGGTTTGGAGATAAATTTCTGATCCTTAAAAACTGATGTCAGAGGAGTCAGCCAGGCCCTGGCCTCAGGGAAAGGAGCCTAATCTTGACGTTAGGAATAACTTTCAAAGATTTTGGACATTAGCAGGTCTGACAGAGGCAAGTTCCCATTTTCCGTAAAACAGACATTGTCAGGAAAGAAAACAAAACAAAAATCAAGCAACAAAGGAGAAAGTTTTGCCGTAGGCCTACATGAAGATTCTTCCTGTGAGAGGATTCTAAGTTGGAACCACAGGGAGGGATGGGCAGAGAAACTAGAGAATTCTTCTTTCCTGGAAGATCCTACAATATGTATGTATGTATTTATTTATTTATTTTTAGGGCATCTGATACATTTCAGGATGATCCTACAATATGTAAAGATTTGTATGTGCTGGTCTAGCCCAATTGATTGATGAATCAGATTTAACTGAGCACCTGTCATGGGACAAAACTGTAGGCCTTATTTGGACAACATTTCCATAAATTGACTTGTGTTGTTAACCTTTGAGTTATTTTCAGACCTATTTGAACCTTCTGGCTGGCTTACTCATATCCAAAATATTCTATATTATGAAAAGACTGTGTGTCCTGTGGTGAGCACCAAAGGAGGAGGACCTTGTTCTTGATTAATGAGACAATGACATGCTGTCCTTTTGGGGGGTAAAATATAGATTGCAGAAAGCATAGTGAGTGTGTGTTGTGAGAAAATGCAAAGAATTTAAGGGTTTATATGGGTGCCACCTAGGGACAGTCATATGACTGAAGGAAAGACGCTAACAAACATGGAAGGCATAAATGTTTAACAGGTGGAGGCTTCTCTACAGACAGAACATGGTAAAACCGGTATCCTCCTTGATGGAGGTACAAGCTTCCCACTTCCCATGAGGATGCACAGTTGCTGATGATACTACCCAAATTTGGTGCCATTCAAAGGGTTTATGCCTTCCTGGACCCTCCCAACTATTCTCAGACCTTTTATTGAACTCTAGACTTGCATATCTAACTATATTCTCGACATCTCCCCTTCCATGTTTAATAGGCATCTCAAACTTAACATGTCCAAAACTGAACTCCTGATCCTTGATGCCACCAACCCAAGCCCGTTCTTTATGTAGTCTTCTCCATCTAATAAAAGACAGTTCCTCCTAGTTATTCAGACAAAAATCTCAAGGGTCATCTTTGACTCCTTTCTGTCTCTCTAATCCTGTATTCAGTCTGTCCTCAAATCCTGCCAGCTCCAGTTCAAAATGCATCCAGAATCTAACTAATTCTTTTCTTTTCTTTATTTTCTTTTCTTTTCCTTCCTTCCTTCCTTTCTTCCTTCCTTCCTTCCTTCCTTCCTTCCTTCCCTTCCTTTCCTTCCTTCCTTGACAGGGTCTTGCTCTGTCACCCAGGCTGGAGTACAGTAGCACAATCATGGCTCACTGTAGCCTCCAAATCCCCCACTCAAGCGATCCTCCCACCTCAGCCTCCTGAATAGCTGGGACTACAGGCATGAGCCACCACATCCAGCTAATTTTTCATAGAGACAGGGTCTTGCTCTTGCTAAGGCTGGTCTGGAACTCCTGGCCTCAAGTGATCCTCCCACCTTAGCCTCCCAAAGTGCTGGGATTACAGGCATGAGCTGCCACGCCTGGCCTAGAATCTGATCAGTTCTTTTTTTTTTTTTTTTGAGACAGTGTCTCACTGTGTTGTCCAGGCTAGAGTGCTGTGGCATCATCCTCGCTCACAGCAACCTCAAACTCCAGGGCTCAAGTGATCCTCCTGCCTCAGCCTCCCGAGTAGCTGGGACTACAGGCATGCGCCACCATGCCCGGCTAATTTTTTCTATATATTTTTAGTTGTCCGATTAATTTCTTTCTATTTTTAGTAGAGACGGGGTCTTGCTCTTGCTCAGGCTGGTCTCGAACTCCTGAGCTCAAACAATCCACCCGTCTCGGCCTCCCAGAGAGCTAGGATTACAGGCATGAGCCACCGTGCCTGGCTCTGACCAGTTCTTAACACCTTCACTGTTGTCACCCTTGCTCAAGCTGTCATCATCTCTTATCTGGATTATTGTGAAAACCTACCAATTGATCTCCTTTCTTCCACCCTTATTCTACCACATTCTATTCTCAAAATGATTCATCTCTTTAAGATTAATGCCTTTAAAATACAAACCAAATTTTGCCACTCTCTTCTCTAAGTCTTCTAATAATTCCCTATCTCATGCAGAGTAGAAGTCAAATTCTTATTGTGGTTTATGAAAATCCTTCTGGCCTCCTGTTATGCCTCTGACCTAATCTGCTTCCCCTTCGCTGCTCTGCTCCAGCCGTACTGGTCTCCTTTTTTCTCTTCCACACCAGGTGCTCTCTAGCCTCTGGGTCCTTGTACTTGTTCTCTCTTCCCAAAATGCTTTTTACCCAGACATCCACACAGCTTGTTCCTGCACCTACATCAAATGTGTCATGCTCCTTGAGGCTTTCTGTCATCATCCTATTCAAAACTTTACCTCCTCATTCCCTTTCTCTGCTTCATTTTTTTCTATGGTGCTTTTTATCATCTGACCACTATGTGTTTTATATATTTATTTGTTTAGTGTTTGCTTCCTCCCACTAGACTGTCAGGTTCATTAAGGCAGTTTTTTTTTTTTTTTGGTCCATTTTGTTCATCAAATATTACCAGTGCCTTGAGCAGTGCCTGGGAATAATAAACACTTCATAAACATTTGTTGAATGAAAGAATGATGGAACCCACATTTAGGGTTGAGAGTAGGAAAAAATATCATCTAAGAAAACTCAGGAGCAGCTATCTAGAAAGATAGGGAGATAGGATAAAATTCCTCATTCATGCCCCCGGTTTTAACGATTACGATTATATGATGTCTCCCAAATCCTTACCTTCGGCCCTGACTTCTAGCTTGAGATCTGAAGCTGCATTTCCAAATGAATGCTCCATTTCTCTACTGAAAACGTTTCAAATTTTAAGACAGTATGTCT